AATCCAAATAATATAGTCCATAATCATACAAGCAGTCCAGTACTCATAGTTTGCTAACAGTTGCAAAACTTACAATAGCTCATGGCACTTTCTAATAGGCAGCTTCCAAAACACTCAGATCAGATCAGCCCAGCATCTAACAAACAGAGAGCTAACAGTCATTCTGACTCCCTCTTATGGCTGATTGAAGAAAACAGCAGCCGATCACATTTTACAGTATGATTTAAAGAAACAGGTATAGCATTGTTACATGATTTATATATTGCCATCTGAACCGTTAGATTATATTCCTAACAGAGCAGATCAAAATCTGTGAGGTGGCAGGCACGGAATCATTATCAAACCCTGAGGTTTTTTTAATGATGCACTAATGTACAGAAGGGCAGGCTTTGATTGTGGCACTGTGGCCATGTGTGACAGACTTTGATACCTTCTTCAGATGCCCCCGAGAACATAATGCTTGACTACAACCACTGTTTATTTCCTCATTATGTTGCAACCAAAATCTCCCTCCATATGAACCACTGTTGGTCAAGCAATAGATCTGAGCAGGAAAGACTCTCACAAGTCCTCTCCTGTTTCAGATAACTTCAAATTAGCAGCTTGTTTACCTGATGGCAGGAAAAAAGTAGATTCCCTTGAGACACAAAAAGTCTGTTTCCCCCAAACTTGACCTGGACTGAAGACCTCACCCTGGAGAAGAACATCTGAATGGTCCACTTGTCTTCTAAAGGTCTTTTAGAATGGTAGGAAAAACGTAGACCTCTTGAGACACAAAAAGTCTGCTTCGCCCAAACGTGACCTGGACTGAAGACCTCACCCTGGAGAAGAACATCTGAATGGTCCACTTGTCTTCTAAAAGTGGACCATTCAGACTTCTTCCCCAGTATGCGGTCTTCAATCCAGGTCAGGTTTGATGGAAGCAGACTTTTCGTGTCTCAAGGAGTCTACTTTTTTCCCCGCCATCGGGCAATTTTAGAAAGGGGGGAAAGCCATGCTATACCCTTGCCAGTTGGCCCCAGTGATGCCCGTGACACCATACCCTCCTCGGAAATCCAGGAATGATGCAAGATAAGTTTACCATGTTGTCATTGTGGGAATGAGGCCAGTTGGAGTTATTTTCTTCAGATGGATTTTGACACCAGTCATATTTTGAGAAAGAAAACAAAAAATATAAATGCAATATAATGAGTTTTGTATTCCAGTGAAAAATTTGTCCAAAAACAATATTTTTTTTAAAAAAATCTTGAGTATTAGCTATTATGTTTTCTGTCTCTATAGTAGGTTATGGTTCATGGTTTGAACATGTCCAGGAATTTTGGCAGCATCATATGGATTCCAATGTGCTCTTTCTCAAATATGAAGATATGCACAAGGTAATTATCCAAGCATATCAAAGATTTTTCACCCAACCTGTAAGCAAGAAGTGTTCCCCCCACTTGATTCCTTTGAAGCAAGATCACAAACCTGGCAAGAAACAGAGATGTGGGTTAGGGTTCTCTCTTTGGAGAATTGAAGTCAGGGTGATTCATTGGCCTATTCAATCTTTCCCTATTGATCCACCTAAAACAAGGGATGATTTAACACAGGGATCCTCAACACCCAGTTTGTGGATCAGTGGTGGGTTGCTCTTACTGTTGCTACCGGTATGCTGATTGCGGTCTATCCGTGCTCACGCTTGACGTACGCTGTGCACGCATGTACAATCCACCGCCTCTGCAACACCCAGCTGCTTGTCGGGGCTAAATGAGCCACCGTACCAGTACGCTCTCAGCTGCTCCAGGCCACTACTGGTACGGCTGTACCAGTCAGGACTGGCACCAACCCACCACTGTTATGGATCTGCACCAGTTCGTGGCATGCGAGAAACCAGGTCACGTAAACAAGCGAAGCCCCCATCTGTGGGATGCAGGCAGCACACGAACCCACGGGGTGGGTGGGCGTCCATGACAATTCGGTAGAGCCAACTCACTGTGGGACCAAAGTTACACTGCTATCAAAGAAGCAGTGGACGAGAATAATTAAAGAAGTTGTGCAAAAGGAGGGACAGAATGAAATGCGAATGGCAAAAATTAAAATATTTATTTTAAATAATTAAACAGAATTGTTAACTGTCCCGCGGTGAATTGTCCCACAGAAAATTCTTTGTGGCAAGTTGTCCTGCAGCGAGTTGGGCATGGTGAGTTGGCCGCAGCAAGTTGGCTGGGGCATGCCGTCTCATTCCCAACCACGGTTCCTCCGATTCATGGAGAAACCTCTCTCTATGGAATTGGTCCCATGTGCCGTAAAGTTTGGGGGCCACCGATTTAACATATATAAGAAACAGCTATTGCTAAGCCTGCATCAATATTTTTTTTTGGGGGGGGGCAATAACTGGTAACCAGAATGTATTTTTTGGAACTGCCTTATTTTCGATTAATTTCTTCTCCGCAAGTCAATATCCTCTTCTTTCACAGGATCTTGCAACCCTGGTCGAACAGCTAGCGAGGTTCTTGGGCATCGCCTACGACAAAGCACAGTTGGAATCGATGGTTGAACATTGCCACCAGCTCATTGATCAGTGCTGCAATGCTGATGCCCTTTCAGTGGCCAGGGGTAGGTGTCAGAACCTTTGCAAACGTTCGCCCAGGTGGGATGTGTTTAATGGTAACCCACTTCTATGACATTTCCCGAGTGGAATGCGTAGCCGTTGTCCTTTTCCCAACGCTAATCGGTTAAGAGTATTTTGAAGAGAAAGAATTGGGCTATAAACCTGAACCACGGTTCAGGTCAATCAGCCTGAAGCTAAAAAAATACAAATTAGAGGGTAGATGGGGGAAAAGGTGCATTTCCTGACCACAGAAAGCTATCATTCGGGAGGCGGGCTTAGAATTGTTTTTGTTTAATTTTGAGGGAGCTAAAACATGCAATCGTTATCGCCTGAAGAATTATAATTTAGAGCTCTGAATGTTTGGATTTGTTTTCTTCCCAGCCTCAGCAACTTCATGACTTCACGTCCCAGAATTCAATAAATCTTAAAGCTGCCACAGTTGAGAAACACTTGTTGCTGTTGTTAAGTTGGTGAATTCGTGTCCGACCCATTGTGACCCCATGGAAAATGTTCCTCCGGGCCTTCCTGTCCTCTACCATCCCTGGAGTCCATTTAAGTTCATGCCTACTGCTTTGGTGACTCCATCCAGCCACCTCATTCTCTGTCGTCCCTTTCTTCTTT